GCCAAGAATCGCGACCAGGGCCGTCCAAACATGACGCACGTATAGAAAACATATTTCAAACTAAACAAACTCATCAGAATGGACACAAAAAATGGAAGAAGAAGAAAAAAACACTAGGGAACTGCGAAGGGAAAACCCGCTGGGACGCGTGCAAAATTAAAAGTAAAGCGAGAAAAATGTAGACAACGCGTCAGGCGTGGCCAGCCCCAGAGAGAACTCGGTAGAATTCTGGCAGATCCAAAACTGTCTGTCCGTTCATATTAGCTACATTCGCACACACACATAATACATTCCGCTCCAAGGTCACGTACCACCACCTGCATGACGTCATCTTGGAGAAGATCAGATCAGGTGAGGCCATCAGCTTGCTGGGAAAAACAAAGCTTTCTTAGAAATTCTGGACAAGAAACATTTCTTTCAAAAGTTTTTTTTAAGTAATAAATATTATGGCTTTAGGCATGGCTTAGGCGGCTCAATCAATAGAAGAATTTTATAGATACACTGGGAAATAAAATGAATAGGAAGTATTACTGAAAGCCAGAAAATTGTAATTTTCCTAATTTTTATACCCTTGCAGGGTATTATAATTTCAGTCAGAAGTTTGCAACGCAGTGAAGGAGACGTTTCCGACCCTATAAAGTATATATATTCTTGATCAGCATCAACAGGGGAATCTTTCTAGATATGTCAGGAAGAAATCGATTTTTTGGCCATTTTTGCAAAATTTGATAAGGGGTAACATCATTAAAATTAGCAAAAATAGCCAAAAATTTTGATTTCTTAAAATTTTAAATTTGGTATGCAGTTTTTTTAAATTAATAAAAACTAACACAAAACTGCTTTCCGAATCGAAATTAATGCATTTTTGGCTTAGTTATGATATATTTTAATTGTTACCTGCAAGGATATACAAACTTTGGCTGGCCAAAGTTAGCTTTCTTTCTTGTTTAAAACTATTTTAAGGCAATTTGTAAATAAGATAATTCTAGATCTGAGAGGTTGAGATACCGGGCGCAATCCCAGACGAGGCAGAATTTTTAATAAAATGTTCTTAATGGAAAAATTTTATTATTTTAAAAATATTTATTAAAATGTACCTAGCTTTTTTTAATGCCCAGATCTTTATTAAAGCTTTTTTCCAGTGCACCGAAACGTGTAGCTAATTTGTCAGACCTTTCTTATATGGGCTTAGACTCCAAGAACTGCCGAAGCGGAGGCTAGATGATAATGCCAATGCCCACGCTGGCCACCATTTGTTAATGCATATTTTATTCTGGTTTAGCGCCTCATCAAATTTCTAATTTATGGGCCGGAGCTCTCTCAGGCTTGGACCTTAGAGCAATTGAATGGCCGCCGGCAATTTAGCAATTATAAGATGATTAATTTTTGTGCATTTTCTCAACACCTTCCACTTAGCGGCCGCTAACCAAACCTGAACCCTGCTGAATGGCGAACTTGGACTCCGGGCCGAGAGCTTAAAATGAACCTGAAAAGAGACGGAGATTCAAGCTGGGAGCTGGGAGCTGCGGACTGAGGGCCAGGCGTTAAAGCCCAACTACTGTCGATTAAAGTGCCGCTGCCCCGTTGCCGTGTAGGGTATCATTAGGCCAGACAAAACAATTTAAAATAACTACAGCAACTAGCATAATAATGTTGGGACGAGGAAGAAGATGCGACCGCATAGCCCATAGACAATTTTCATAATGGACAGAAATAAATCTGCAAAGCAGAAGCAGCTGCAGCAGCGCAGTCTCTGGGAAACTGAGCAACTACCGAACGCCGAGCACAACTTAATTAATAAACTAATGAGCAGTTTGCAGCCAAGAAACCCCCCGAACCCGATCTGTATACCCTCCAAAAGCTGGAGTCCATCTCTCAAGATTATCTACATAAAGTAGAGGACGTGCATCGTGGCCGGATAAGCTGGGGCTGAGACCGGGCTGAAACCCAGCCTATTTGCTAAGAGATCAGCCAGAAATTAAAATAAATGTGCAACGTGCAAAAATGCCCAAGATAACCCCAACGGAAAGTAAAACTGGAACGTGTTCAGCGCCGATAAAAACAGCAGGCAAAATGAAACAAAAAGTGAAAACCACAAAAAAATTGATTTATGCACATGAGAATGACACGGACTGTACGTGTTTGATTCAATGGGGTGATGACGGGTTAAGTAATAGTTCGAAATACGGAATTTAAATATTAAAATATTAATTAATACAAGAAGAATGCTAGCTAATTATTTTCCATTTTAAACTTAATGAGTTTTTATAATAATTATAATTTATTTAACTACTATCTTGGTCTTGGTTTTATTGTAAATTTTTGCTTTATTAAATTGCTTATTAATTCTAAACGACCTCTCAAAGAAAAATTCCAGCTTGAAATAAAAATAAAAACATAAATAATTGAAACATAAATACCTGATTAATAAGGAAATAATTAAGATTTATATACAAATATTTCTAAAGGAAAAACCAATAAGAACTTGGGCGCCACCGTAAAATATTACCATTTCTTTTCTAAAGCATAAACATTTAACGTACTAATCTCAAGTTTATTGGGCGTAAAAATGATTTAGGATTAGAAAATACCTTCCTAGTCTTTCATGTTCAGGCTATAAAGTATTTGTTAAGAAGCTTTTAACACTTTTCGCCTACAGGGCTGTAAAAACTACAGAGCCGGATTTCTTTTGAGGTAAGAAAAAACGATCTTCTAATGGATTTTATGCATTCAAATCGCTCTCTCACTCTTGTTGGCAAAATTTATGCTCTTTAATAAACCGCTTAGTCTGCAAAAAAATATTTCTGAGCTCAGCCTAAACACTCGTAATTACGAGGCCATTATTCAGGAGGCATCAACAGTCGGCAACAGAGACAAATGAGATTAAGCTGGTGGACTGGTGGACTGGGGCCAAAAATAAAAGTGAGCTCTGACACGACCGAGAATGGCAAGTAAAAGGCTGCAGGTTCTGGCCGTAAATCATTTTGTTTTCACTCTTGTTGCTGCCGCAGTTTAATTATCACGAGTCCAGATTTCGTCTGTCCAGGCAGTTCGTAAATTGTGGCGCGAACAAGACGCGGCTGACGGCTGCATTGGGAAGAGAACATAGTACATACGGCATTCAGCGGCCTCAGCAAATTGAAAAAGAGTTGAAAAACTATTCAAATCAATGAAAACTGATAGCCCCAAGGGCCGCGGCCATGGCCAAGTCATGATTAACATGGGCTTAGTCCTTGTTTGGGCCCAGTCCTAAGTATTGCCAGGGTACTTGTCCAGGCACTGCAAGAAAAATACGGTTAAATTGGGAATAATTTACCTTTTATAACCCTTAAAATGTGTTTCAAGATGGGCTTAAAAAATAATAAAAAAATTAATTATGAAGAGAAGAAAGCTTATAAAATTAACTCAACTATGTATACATCTTATAATTAATGTTACATAGATCTTAAACCTTAATCCTCAAGGTATTTCGCATACTGTGCCTTTGGTTTGCTCCAAAGATGGCACCATGTACCATTTAAGCGACATGCCAACACTTGACCAGGGCCCAGAGCCAGTCAGGAAACCGCTCGAAGCCTTAGTGTGGAGTATGGAACCTGCAAACCTGGCGAAATGTATCATTAACAAGTCACGACAAATTCGCTGGCAGCCAGACTCTTGGCTCGGACCGGACCGGACGTTTGAAAAGCTACGAGCAGGGCCAAATTTGGTAAGACCTCGACACCCGACATTAGATAAAAACGCGACTCTCCCGGACTCCCAGGCTGTGGTGAATCTTGTATCAAGTGCCAGGCTGGGACAGGTTGGCTGTTGCGCCGGCGGCGGCCGCTTTGAACGGCCAGGACCCACCGCCGTTCAGGTGTGAAAAAATCTAAAATGCAAACACCAGAAACAACACTGCGAACCAAAGGCCGGCCGAATGGCAGTCCATTTGTAGTTGCTCCCCTGGGCGCTGCCGAAAACGCCAAACTGAGCCACAGATTGAAACGAAAAGCGATCGGGAGTGCGAGCCAGAGGATGTGCGTCCATGTCCCAGACCCTCCTCCTCAAACCTCCTCCTGCAGTGCCCACCCCAGTCCAGTCCATTCGCAGTCGCATGAATTATTTATTTCGATTGTCTGTTGCAGCTAGCAGAGCATTATTTTTAGAGGGTCCACTAGCCTAGGCCCCCATAAAGCCTAGAAATTTATGATCGGCGGCCGGGAGCCGTTCAAATTATCGCAGGGCATGCAAAATTTATTAACAAACATAAAAATTGCTCGAGAATTTATTTCATCTTAATTCAATTTAACAACTTAAACAGCCATAAAGTGTTCACATAGTAAATCAATGGCCACTCTATGCAGATGCGCTGCCCAGCCCAGCGCTGTCCACATGCATCATCATCATAATCATAATCAACGTGCCTGGGCTAGAGAGCTATACCCCTCCGCTTCCACAATTTATGAGCTGCGCATGAAAATGAGTCAAAACAAATTATGCCGCTTGCAGGACGGGGCTTTGGCTCCGACTCCAGTCAGGCCTGATTGACAGGGCGACCGAACGGAGTTCGACTTTGGGAGAGGAGCAGCAGCGATTATGATGTGAGCGCTGCCAAAAAGATTTCCATCAGCGGCAAACAATTTCAAGGCATTAATCACGGCCGTCAAGTATGAGTATGAGTACGAATACGAGTACGAGTACGAGGGTGGGTCCCATGTTCTACCCAAATCCTCAGCCACTGCCCCAGGAATGTATCCCAGTTTTGGATAAGAATCTACGGCAGCCAGGATTAGTTGTGAGTTTCAAGCGAACATAAATCACAAATATTTAAGTACTGGAATCCTAAATTCCTAACAAGTTATGATTCAGAAAAATTAAATACTCTTCTTTAAAGTAAGTCAAAGTTTATGAATTTATTGGATGGGAAACGCTTTTCAATAATTTAGAATAACTTAGGAATGGGGCAAGCAAATGAGTCTGTGAGTCGCAGGGTGATAAGGCAATGATGTTTCCACAATCTAGCTCTGGCAGTAGCAACCATCGGCGGTGTTCTTTTGAATCCAGTCCAGGAACTTGCTGACCCTGGCATAGACGCCCGGGGCATTCTTCTGGGCACAGCCATAGCCGAAGGACACCACGCCGGCAAGCTTGTAGCGACCCTCGTTGACAATGAGTGGGCCGCCACTGTCACCCTGGCAGGCATCCTTGCCGCCCTGCTGGACTAGACCGGCGCAGAGCATCACCTCGGCGATCTTGTCCTTGTAGCGGGTCTGCCGGCACTGCTGGTTGCTGATCACCGGCACATTCACCTCCTGCAGATAGTTGGAGGTGACGCCACCCTCCTTGATCAGACCCCAGCCAGCCACCACAGCCTGTGAATATATTAATTAAATTAATTAATTAATAATAATTAGTTTAAAATAAAATAAAACATCACTTACCGTCTTTCCATCAAAGTTGTGATTGGCCTCGGGCAGGCAGACAGGACGCATGTTTCCAGTCAGTGGGACCGGAGACTCCAGCTTCAGCAGGGCCACATCGTTGACAATGCGATTGGGATCGTAGTTGGGATGGATGGTGGTCTGGACGACCTTTCTAACAATGCCAGGATCCCGGGAGGATCTGTCGATCTGCAGCAACCGAATGGTGATCTGATCCCTATTGCCATGGACACAATGAGCTGCGGTCAGGACATAACGATCGTTGATCAGGGAGCCGCCGCAGAAGAGCCTGGGATAGTGACGACCCTTGACCAGCTGGGCGGTCCAGGGGTACTTGTTGGAGCGCACCTGCTGGCCGCCCACAATGCGATTGACATTCGGTGTGCCACAGACTGAAGCAAATAAAAGAAAAGAGTTTCTATCGTTAGGATTTCTTTCGTTGGGTTGATAGATATCTTTGACTCACAGCAATTCTGCTTGGTGTTGCACTGATTGCGATTCTTTGGCGGCCTCACCGCCTTGAGGGCCTCCTCTGCAGGATCCACCACATCGACGACATCGGCAAATTGCTGGGCAAGGGTCTGTTGATGGGGCGCCCGGTACTGGTACTGGGCCAGGGCCAAGGTGCAGCCCAGCAGCAGGAGCGGCAGGGCCAGGTAGCTACGCATCTTGTCCGGAGTTGCCTTCTGAGGAAAGTGACGGAGCGTTTTGCCCAGAGCCGGCTACTTATAGGGCCCCAAGATCGCAACGGCGATGGAGATCCAGATCGGAAACGAGATCGCGATCGAGAGCTGGGCTTTTTTAATAAAACTAAAAATATGAATGTTTTATTGCTTGTGTAAGCAGCGCGCGCTTCTTTCTTTCTTTTCGGCTGCCCCTTTCTTCTTTCTTCGTTTTTTCTTTCTTTATTTTTGTTTCTTTATTTTTTGTTATTTCTCCGCTTTCTTTGTTTGACGCCTTATTTGCATAACACTTTATAGCGCCGCACACACACGCTCATCTTGCGATTCTCAAGTGTAGAGGCTTTGTATTTTTGGCTCCGTACAAATCATCATTTTCATCGAGAACAACTTGCCGAAAAGTGCAAATAAACTTTTTAATATCATTTTAATATACCCATACCCTCACGGCGGGCTTTTAAGTGTTTAATGCCTGGAAACTGGGTTATTGGTGGGGAGTTACAGTGGGAGGCTAAACTCAATTTGTTGGAAGGCCCAAAAACTAGCTAAATCATTCGGTGACTTGGTTTTAAAAATTATTACAATATTATAAATGCTCTGCTCTTAAAAAGAGCTAAAGGTAGAAAAGGAAGAGATAGTTGGTTTTGTAATTAAAAAAAAAAAAACCTTTAAATCGTTGGAACTCCTTCTGTGTGAGAGTAAAAAATATAATAAACAGTTTCAAAATAACAAATAATATTATTTAAAGCATTAATAAAACAAGGTTAGATTACAATTTGAGCACTTGCCCCTTTTTTCTTAAAAAAATATTTATTATTTTAAAAATATTTAATAAATTTATATAATATCTCAAGATCTCAATAAGCAAAAGAGTATTACAAATTCCCCATACATTTTTTAAATTCCCCTCAATGCCTTTGCATATTCATGAAAGTAGAGCAAACTCCAGCGAGTTCACCACTTTTCTGCCAGCCACCCGTGGCTTTTTTAATGGACTTTTAATGCGCCTTCGAAGGGGCTTAGACAGCGTCATCGACAACACTGCGTCTGACCCAGCCAGATCTGGCCAAAAAATACAACAAATAAAAAACTTGGTCGCTGAGCTGGCGAATTCCTTCTTGGCTCTCCTCGCTCTCTCTCCACCTTACAATACCATGGCAATCTGGCTTGCATTGCAGCATAAATATCCTTTAAGTGCCGGTTATCCGGTATCATCATTAACCGGAGGCAAACGCCCGCTTTCACGCTGGAGAGGAGCAGCGCCAGCCACAGCGACTGCTTCAGCTTCAGCCGTTGGAATAATTTATAAGGCTTTGGCGATCGGAGGAGGCCAACCTGGCATTTGGTGTCTTTTCGGCATAATTTACAAAACGCAACCAGAACCAGGGAAAAGTTATTATTCCTCCAGCTTCAGCCGCCTGTCCTTCGATCATATTTCTTTGCATGGAATGTCGCGATCGTCGTCGTCGCCTTACTCTTCGAAATTGATTTGCCTGGGGCTCAGTTTCGTCCATATAAAGGCAAAAAAATGGTACATATATAAATTAATAAAAGCAGCGCGTTGATAAATCGCGTACACTTTGAAATTATGCAACATGTGGCACTTGCTGGCTACACATGCAACCGCTTTGTGTTTTTTCTTAATACATTATGCAAGAACATAACCAGGTAAAAAGGATATTTATTTTAGGCTTGTGGTTTAATAGTCAATTTTAAATAGTTTTCTGGACAGCATCAATACAAATCCTGGACAGCCTTCCTATCCATTTCCTGAACAGAAATCGTATGTATTCGTATGCATATATATGATGTCCTTGATGTCCAAAACGGGATCAGATGAAAGCAAGATCACAAATATTAAACTATATTCGTAGAGCTGTTTTCGTTTCAGCTTATTTTGTTGTCTTTCAACTTCCCCACATAAATAACTTTTACTCTTACGCAAAACCTTAAGCACATGCAAATGTAGGCGATCCAATTTGATTGTTTTTAGAAATTTGTCTCTTTCCTTTTCGTAAAATTAAGGCATAAACATAAATGGCCATATAAATTATGTGGCAAAAGGCATTTGGCAAGTGGCAGAAACGTGAGCCAGACTCATTTGTTAATGGCACAACTTAATCATAGAAAGCATCGGAGATATGCAAATAAGTCTGCTTCGTTAAAGGCAATCCAAGTCTAATTGTTGCACTTGTAATTGCCCCAAAAGAACAATGAAAAGATCGCTAAGCTGAGACAAGGGTATTTCATCATGGTCATTATGTTTTCAGCAGGCGGAATTCCAGAATTTCCACTTCCCCGAGCCCTCGGTGGGCGGGGCTGAGTGACAAACACGCAGCAGCAGCAGGAGAATTCCGCATATGGTATGTGGATTCCACATCCATAACATAGATCATTGAACCGACCGAGAAGCTTCTCTCCGGCTCTCCTAGGCTGGGGATAAATGCCAAACTATAACACAATTTAGAAAGGTTGAATGGCATGCCATTCACTGGCTTCACTTCGCCCGGTGGCAGTTGCCCGTCAGAGTCACTCAGTCAGTCACTCATAAATTTGCATAAGAACTGAATTGCATTGCATTATCTAAGCGGCAGTTGCATCTTGCAACAGTTGCAGCACTTATCTCGGTGGTAGAAACAATCACGGCAAAAGGCAAAGATTTTAATTATTGTGTGTGACGGCGACGACGACTCCAGCCGAGAACTAACCAGAGAAATGTAGAGTGAGAAAAATCAAGAGAGTCTAGAATTGGATTTACACAAAGAGAAATTACTAAAAATATAATTTAAAATATTATTTTACATTATTAAAATCAATGAAATCATCATTGGTTGCAGTAAAAACTTGTTCTTTGTTTTATAATTTCTAAATATATATTTTTTTTATTTTAATTTCTAATATACATTTCTTCAAGTTTACAAAGACAGCCGCAAATCTGTCTTTGACTTCTCAGTCTCGGTCTCGGTCTCTCTATAGGTCTGTTCTGGGTCTCCGGCTGATGTGCTGCATTTGATAACTTCCAGCAATGAAGTCTTAGACCCTTAGATAATGAAAAGGAAGCGAGTCTTGAGCCCGGTGCACTGTAATTCAAATTAGTACCAGCACGAGAAAAAAAAAGACGAGTTTGAAGCGAAGGAGTGGATGGCCAGACTCGTCTTCAGCTACCGGAGGAATCAGGGGCTCCTGCAGTGCCAACTGGCAACATCTTCTTCCTCAATGACATTAATTCATTTCGTATGCAAAGCAATCAGGGAACTCTTCTCCTCCAGAACTCTGCCGCTCGGCGGCGGCTGCTTGGCAATTAGAAAAGAGTTGGAAAATTGTATGCGGCTCCAGGTCGGACTTTGTATCCGTCTCTATCTCGGAGACTGGTCTGGCCCAGGTCTGAGTTTTCCGACTGGCACTGGCACTGCGCACTGATTTGCATTGCACGATTCTCAACTTAATTTAACATAAAGTAAACAAGCGCAGTTAACAAGCCAAACACAAGCCATGAGCGTGCGGGTGCCGGCCGCAGCATCATCTCTCCTGCTCCAGCTTTGGACCCCAATGCAGCAACCTTTCAGCTCCATCTGCATTTTCCAATCCCTCAGCCTGAGTCTCCAGTCCAGGTCTGCCAAGGGCCTCGTCCGAAGCCTAACCATGCATGCCTGCCCTTACCCCTTGCAGAGCTGCTGTCGTGTGACGTGTTGTGAAAATTCTAAAATATTTCGCCCTGCCGGCTTAGCTTTCTCACAAGTCAACGCCAGCGCAAGACACTTTAAAAGCGCACAGTGGTCGGGATCATAGGATAAAATGCAATAAAAATTAAATCGAAACTCGGCTTTTCATCATAAGTGAGCTACAATGCTGATACAATACTTGGAAATTTCTAGTGCACCCCTAGAATCAACTGTGGCTCAACTAAGCCCTGTTATTAATTCTTAAAATACATTTCCAATATTTTTAATATGCTTTATTTTTATTGATTATTGTTAAATATAGCACATCAGCTTCGAACAATACAATAACAATGCATAATAAGGAACCTTAGCCTTGAGCTGGCTTTTTTCTCTTAATATTCAGATTAACTTCAAGAGTATTATTCATTTTATTGATTGGTGATCCCGTTGAGCTCGATCCCGGTACTTTCGATCCCGGTGTTCCCGGTCCTGGTGATCCAGATCCTGGTGCTCCCGATACCGGTGCTCCCGATACCGGTGCTTCCGATCCCGGTGCTCCCGATACCGGTGGTGCCGGTCCCCATTGTCCCTGTGGTCCCGGTCCCCATTGTCCCTGTGGTCCCGGACCCCATTGTCCCTGTGGTCCCGGTCCCCATTGTCCCTGTGGTCCCGGTCCCTGTGCCGGTGGTCCTGATCCCGGTCTCTGTGCTCCCGATCCCTGTGTCGGTGGTCCTGATCCCGGTCTCTGTGCTCCCGATCCCTGTGTCGGTGGTCCTGATCCCGGTCTCTGTGCTCCCGATCCCTGTGTCGGTGGTCCTGATCCCGGTCTCTGTGCTCCCGATTCCTGTCCCTGACAACATTGTCCCGGTGCTTCAGATCCCGTTCCCGGTGGTACCCATGATCCTGACCCCGGTGGCGGTACTGGTCCCCATACGTTTGTTGCTCCAGGATCCTTTACAAAGGGAGGACAATGATTTCCTGGTGGACACCAATAGCCATATGGTGGGTGTACGTGGTGAGGTATATATGCAAAGTGTAATGAGCCACTGTGCAGCGCAGACCGTACTTTAATGCTATGGCACTCCTCTGTTCCGTTTGAACACTTCTGTTGACCTTTTACAACTAAGGATAACTCCTTGTCCACCTTCAAGAACATACGATTTAGAAGATTGCACATATCCGAATCCACTTTATCTCACCGATCCATGCCCTCGGGGCAATAGGAAACAATATCCCATTAAAATTGAGTAAAATACCCACATCTTGTCTGAACACTTTTAATTGTGATACAAGGCAAGACCTATATTTATGTTTTAAATATTTGTAAATGGATTTGACTCACATGGATTAGTTTAAAAGAATGAAAAACAAATTAAAAGTGGAACAATGCGATTATTCTGCAATTATATAATATTATATGACCTTGATGGTATTTATTGGAATTTATGTACCCTGTATTTAAAGGTGCCAGCTGAGAATGCATGTAATTGACAGAAGCAGGCATCTCCAACCTTATCTTGATCAACCTCGTCAGCTTCAGTTCTTGTGGAACACCAGAACTCTGAGACTATTAGAAGTTAAGGAGTTTGAATACCGAATATCTCTCTTTCCCACTATTTTTTTAATATTTAAAAATCAGTTCATTATTGTTATGATGCTGTAACTCCAAAAAATGGATTAAATAAAAAGAAGTTTTGCAATTTTTTGAAGAAGTTATAATCCTTTAAGACATTAATATTTGAAATTATTATTTTTACACAATTAGGGAAGAAGCTTTGATTCCCTTTCCATCTTCACCAAAGACCATATAAAATATATATTTTCAAGGGTAATAAAAGGAGTAGTTTTGGAAATTATTCGACCTTTGGTTTACCATCAGTGTTAACACCCACATTAAGATTATTTTGATTAACAGGCACGCCAATGCCCATCGGCGTTAGAGCCGGTGTAAATGAAACTTTAGGCTTATCTTCAATTTGCATAGGCACTATGATTTTTGTTTTGTTGTTGAAGACGCAACTCAGTTGCTTCTGTTGGTCGATGGGCGTGCAAAGTGCATATTCTGGTTCAGGCTTTGGGGAACTTATGGGAGATGAATCATCTATTTCCTCGGCTGGCATGACAGTTTCTTGTCTGCCGTTGGTGCATCTGATTAACCTTCGTTTCGCCTGTCTGAACCTAGAATTTAAAGTAATTGGCTCAAACGGTGAGCATGTTTCCGATAATAAAATGTTTGGGGGTGGTACATAGTGTGTTGTGTAGGGTACGCAACTTTCAAACACGTTTAGCACGTCACACAGTTTTTTTCTCCAAATGTCCATAACTAAACCCAATGTCCGGGGCATAACACTAAGTTCTCTTGACGGACCCGCACTGCTGCACTTCTGTTTGAAATCGGGATTGCTGAGAAGTGTGTCTATTAATTTGAACCGCGTATATGTCCTCATGCGTGTTGACAATTCAATTTCAGGTGCTCCTTCGAATTCGTTAAAATCAACAACTTTAAAAAGAGAATAAAATCAATTTCAAAAGAGAATAAATAAATCTTTCTCGACTAACCTATTGGCTTAATCAGACTTTAAAAGAGTAAAAATTGATTAATTTTATGCGATTTAAATTAACTTTTCAAATAGATACCTCTGGGGACAGCGTAAGTTCGCGAAGTACTCATCGATTTCATCAATTAACTATTCAGTATAAGATATAAAAAGGTTTTTGTAAGGTGAAAAGTTGTACTCCGGAATGAATAACTTACGCTGGTAATGTTTTCCCCTTGTGCCTGCATACGTGGCACTAGAAGAATTAAAAATATTATATAGTTCCGCATTTCGGGTGCCTGGCTTGAACTGCAGTGACTTAATAAAAAGTATTTTGTGTTGAGGAAAATGAAATTCAATAATGGATTTTAAAAGGGTTTTAATGCCAGAACGAAATGAATTTAACACTCTAGACCTTATGATGTTAAAGATACGTAACGCGCATTTCTGAATTTAATTAAATTTAAAACAAAAGCAAAAAAGAAAGCAAAATACCGATCGCCGAAGTTTGTATACCTTTGCAGTTTGCATTTTGTTGAAATTAAATGAACAGAAATGACTCCTTCACTGCTGACTAAAATGAGTATGATAAATAATTGTTGTTAATTTTCGGTACAGCTTTTTATTTTTTATTTGTAAACATTCAATTAGTTATTTACATTGTTATATTGTTAGATGTTCTGGAATAGTCAACATTTACATTCGCGACGAGATGATTGTTGATACTGTTCTCTGGACGCTGCGACATCTTATATTCTGCATCGTGGCTTTCTACTAGCGTTTGCATATGTGGCACTAAGAACATCAAAAATATAATACAATTCCAATTGCACATTTTAAGTGGGTTGTACAAATAAAAGTGAAGAGGTTTTTAAGATATATTTATTAATATATAAAGAGGCCTCAATCGATTAGCCACAAATGCAATACCAGAACCAATGCATTTTTAACGAATATAGGCTTTGATTTATTGAAAGGAAGCTAACTTTGGCACCCCGAAGTTTGTATACCCTTGCAGTTTGCAATTAAAAAAAGAAAATAATTAGAATTTTTATTTATATTTATGGCATCATTAGACTTAGATGCTCTGCTCATGTAAATATTTACATAAGATTATTGTTGATTTCGTTTGTACGCTACGACATCAACGACTTTTTATATTCTGCAATATATATTCGCATTCCTTCAACGGAGTCTGACTTCCCAAATGAACCTTCAATTCTTTGAACTTGTCTTGTACCAGTGCCATGGAGTTACCTAGAGAATATAAGAAATAGTTATGAAACTTTTTAGAAGATAAAGTATTTATATTTACCGTCCGGTTTATATTTACCATCCAGAACATCCGACTTAGGTTTGCTGTAAAATTATTGGTTAGTTAATTATTAATATAACAATAATATCATTTTCAAACAAACCTTTTGGGACATAGAGATTTGACATCCAGCAAAGCTTTATGATTTAATGATAATTCGTTCAAAAATCCATCGATTTCACCCAGTAACACTGACGTTAGTTCAGGATCCACCAGCTTAAATTGCATTTTGTTAAAAATAAACTATATTTCAATAAATTGAAGGACTTACTGACAACTGTCCTTCTACTAGCGCCTGCCTATGTGGCACTAGGAAAATCAAGAATAAAATTAAATTCAACTTGCACATTTCAAGTGTGTTCCACAAATAAAAGTGAAGACGTTTTATCTTTATATTTTTAGAATATATATAAAAAGGCTTTAATCGATTAGTCACATGCAAACCAGAACAAATGCATTTTTAACGGAATTTAGCTTCGATTGATATACATTTTATAATAAATTAAATTGTAAAAAATGTAATAAATTTATACATAAATTATAATGCTAGTTTTATTTTCTCTTTTCAATAACCTTTACATCATTCACGACCCACAGTGCACTGGCGATCTTGGCCTAAAGCTAAAGCTTCTCAGCTGAGGCATCGTGAAGAGTTTATTAAAAGCCACGACAACGGCGACTGTTCCTGCTTGTCCCTACCACACCAAATCCTTTGTAAGGTAATTGCTCATTTGAGTTATAAACACGCACACACACGGCCCTCATATATCCCCACCGCCCAGGTTTACCCACCTCCATATGCCCGATCCCCAGATGGCAATCGAGGCTAGGTCCAGAAAGGGCCACGTCCGCGCTTTGCATGTCTAACAATTGTTCTTCTAATTGCGTTTATGGCCAGGCGAGAGAACTGGCCGGACGGAGTCCGCTCCAGGCAGAGACCTCCAGATCCCCAGACCCCCTCCCTCCCCCCGGATGCCTTGTAAACGCAATCGGACAAGATAATCTCGGGATCGCAGCGTGCGCAATGATTTGCTGCAGCAGGCCAGGACCAAAAAGGGCTTACCACATGGGATGGCATACCCCATCTCTCCGTCCTCCCACCATGGCATGTGGCTAGCATTTGGGTGCAACAAATTGCCGCCACGCATCTGCTTCACAGAGAGGGAGAGATAGAGAGACGCTGAGTGGAATTGAGTTGAGTTCCTCAAATTGGCACTGGCATTGAGGGAGAAATGGCTTACATATCGCATTTATGGTCTGCTTATTAAGTGGTGCAACAAATTGACAGCTCCAAAGAGCCTCCAGAACAGTTTCGCCATCAATTACCCCCAAACGATTCGCAGAAGCGAACGAGCCCATCGATAGCCAGGCAACACTTCATTAAAAGTAAATAAGGTGTCCATGAGATATTGTGATAAGTCCGACGACGAGGGTGTTGCTTTCTGGCCATAGACAATCCGGCACTTGAAGGAGTTCCAAAGCCAATGGTCTGGCCCATTGAGGTGTGATTTTCTGATGGGAAAATCATAATGCTTTATTATAGAGAAACACCACGAACTTGGGATGTTAAAAGCAAAGCAAATGGGATTATAAAAAAGCTGTTAACTTGGTACATTCCACCTAAAAAATACTTGAAAATCCATTTCCTACTTAAAAGAGAGCTGGATTTTTCCCTTTTCTATACCCATTGATATGCCTGTAAGCCAAAATGTAGCGCATCATCATCGCATGCTCACCTATGAAGGCCCTCGACAGTTCCTAACCTAAGGTAAAGGCAGCAAATGGTTCGTGCAATTGCCAGTTATGGCTGCGAGTGCAAAAAAAAGGCGCGCGTCAAATGCTGCATTGAACAGAAAAACAAAAACAAAAAGATATATAAAACAGACAACGAATAGCCTGCAGATGTGGACCGCGGGCAACAATAACAATCTGAAGGAGACGGGCGAGTGTGAGTGTGTGGAAAATTGAAGACAAGCTCGCGCTCTCTAATGATAACTGCTGGAACTTTAAAGGCGCGAGATTGCGGAAATTTTCGCGACTGCCAGCGGATGTCTATGGAGCTATGGAGCTCCGCAGTTCTAAGGCCCCGGAACTCTGGGACTCTGAGAGACTGGGCAACGACAACAACGACGACGACAAGTGTCAAGTGAAGCTTAGATAAATTTCAAAAAGGGCAACAACATGGGCCGGTCCGTGAGGAGGAAGCAGGCGACGATTGCTAGCCAGCTGACTAGGGGGAGATGCACTAAGGGAAAAGGTTAAAGAAAATTAAAAATAAATTTAAAAAAATCATTTTCATGTAAGAATTAATCAGATTAATCAGAGATTATTAAGAGCAATGTTTTAAAAGTGGATTTTTAAATAAATAGTCCTTATATCTGTATTCAGTGAAAACTAACAATATATTTTAGAGATATATATTCCAAAAAATCCTCGCCTGTTTTAGTCATTTTTCTTAGTGTACAGTTAAAGTGTCTCGAAATGAAATGAAATGGCCAAGCGACGAAGGCCAGGCCTCACCTTGCCATGCCGCACAAGTAGCCAGCAGGCAGGCAGTCAGGCAGCGGAGCACTCCATCCTCTAAGCCCCATCCTGGTCCTCAGCCCATCCTCTGGCGAATCTTCTGAGTGGCATGCCATGACTGCCTCCGCTTCCTGCTTGTTGCTGCTCGTATTTGAACTTCCAGACACGCTTTTGGCCCTTAACATTTTTGACCGTCATTTTGCCGATATAAATTCTTTAGCATCTCGTCGGAGGCTGCTGGTTCTTTTCTTTCTTTCTGCCAGAACAGATACAGATAGGGGGAGAGAGAGGGATATCGCTTCGGGTTGCACTTTCTTCGTCGTGCCAGCAAAAGTGTAGATCAGCGCGAAATCTAATTTATGCAACGTACAAGAACATACAACATGTTGCACGATGATGAAAATGCGGCAGCCAGCCAACAATATTTTTTAATAAAAAGAAAAAAAAAAAAAAAGAAGAACCAACGGCCGCGGCAAGACAATCGAGCTGCGACAACAACGACGCATGTTTTATGACTCTCATTGTCATTTATGCAAATTAGGAAACGGCAATGGCTCAGGTAGAGCTGTTGCTGCTGCTGCTGCAGGAGCAGAGTGCCCCAAGATGATACCGATGCCGATGCCGAAAGCCGATCCATGGCCACTTCTAAGCAGCGGCGCAAATTTCCCACCAAACCCAAGCTGGCTGGCTGCCTCGTGGCCTGAACTTTTTGTGTCATGGCCTAGGATCTGGAAGCTGGGAGCTGGGAGCTATGCTATGGTGTCTCCTGCCCCCACTCCGATGATTATGAGCAACATGTTTTATGATATCTGGCGGTGATTTATTATCATTTGATTTAAAAAGCAGTGGACGGGACACACATCAATACATGTGGCTCTGCTGTGGTCATAGCCAAGAAGGATGAGACATGGCGTTATTTATAGTTTTAGGCCGGGACCTTCGCCGAACACTGGTCACTGGTGGTCACTGGATGGGGTATGGGTATATGAGGATGCCTTGCATTTCATGCTTATTATAGAAATGTGCGCTTTTATGAGCCCTGCCCAGCATGTTAAAGGTAGAGAGCTGCGCCTTTTGGCGATTTTAATTAGCGCAGCTGGCTGATCTTAGTCCGCTGGGCAGTTAATTAGTCTCAAGCGGCGATGGCGGAACGTTTGGAAAGGTTACAGTTGAATTGTTGGGCACCTCTAATTAGCCTAGGGGCGTTTTCTTCTTTTTTAGGACCAGTCTAGACTCAAAAGTAATTATGGCAGGTTGCTAAAAAAAAATAAAATATAGTGCAAATAGACATAATGATAAACTATAATAAAAGGGTAATATATACTTGATCTTCATTTCTTTTCTCAACTTTCCACACAAATACCTCTGCATACTTTCAGGATTATCACAAATAACAACGTTTTACTTAAAGAAACTTAAAAACACACTAAGCTAAGGTCTTGCATAATTAATTTGTTAAACCAAAGAAAACCAATTTAATACAGTTTAATGGGCCCTAAAAACGGCTACCCGGTGAGGTAAAAACATTATTTCAAAAAAATAGTTTCAATATAACATCTAAATCTACTGGCATCCGCAAGATAATTCCACATATTTATGCCGATCGTGCGGACAGCATTACTCAAACTTTATGGCCTATTTACTGGCAGACGAACCTCCTCCTCCTCCTTCTCTATGCGCATTTTTATGACGCCCTACCATAAAAGCTGTCATTCATTAGGGCCGTGATTAGCCAGGATTAGACCGGCTTTAAGCGCTGGTGTGGTTAGTTAAGGGCCCATTAAGGACGCCTCATGAGAGGCTGGAGAATTGGAAGCCTTTGGAATTGGACCCTTTCCTATCAAGTTCTCACGATGGCTGCTACGCTCATCATCACTAACTGGCTTCAGATCCGTTTGCATAAATCTTCGCTAGCCAGGCGACGTCATCGATGCCGGGTTATCATCTTCTCATTCTCAGTCACATCATCCCACTCTGGTGTTCATGTGCTCATCAGGGAACTATAAATAGATTCTCTGTGTTTAATTTTATTTAATAATTTATTACTTTCCTTCACATACAATCTTCAACGATGCAGTTGTACACTTGATGGCTATATGGAAAAATATATATACAAATATATATAGTATAAAGCTGCGGACTTACAACTAATTAAACTGATGCGATTCCTATTCCTCCATTGACTCTAGCCATTTTGCATTTACATGCAATTAAATGCCCATTCACGTGCCTCGAAACCAGCAACATCGATTGCTATGACATCACCATTAATCTTCCCTCAGCGATTTTTGCATCATCGATGTTACGATGTTTCGAGAATGCATGTAATGTAACCTCTGGGATTTTCTTTTTTAAGGAGAGGGGACTTATTGCCATTGTCCGTTAGCCAAATCGGCTTAACTGCCGCCTACTCGCAAGGCCCCAGAATTGGCTCTGCCCATGGCGAGTCCTCCTTTCAATTGCAAATTTAATTCAATCATTGCCTATAATTTGGCACACTCACTCCAGTCTGAGACCGGAGGAGTCTGCTTGGTGGAGTGCACATTTAACAGTTAAATGTTGCTGCGGCGTTTGCATTTAACACGCGAAAATTGCTGCTGCAACAACTGCCGGCTTTGGTAAGTGCAGGGATCCAAAGTTGGAGCCAAGACACGGCCACCATTAGAAATTCTAATTTTCGCAATCATGGGCTTTTGGAGTCACCCACCCACTCGCAAGGAAAAGAAGATGCAGATGAAGGTGGCAAATATGTAAGTCACGTTGCCGATTCCGAGTGGTTTTGGGTCGGGCTTTGTTTGGTGTTGCCATTGACAACGGCAAAGGCAGCAGCAGCGGCAGCGGCAATGTTGTATGTTGC